AAAACATCATCGTTTTCTCAAAATCACATAAAGCCATATTATAACATCGAATGAGATAAGAAATAAAATGAAATATTAAAATCATGATGTATCTCGCTGCATTGTGCGAGTACGCTTCTAGTATATATATATATATATATAGAGAGAGAGAGAGAGAGAGAGAGAGAGAGAAGGTGGGGCGTGCATTTCACATGGGTGATGAAAGGACGGTGGCGTCCATAATGGAGAAAGAAGCAATAGCCAAAGAGAATCAAAGAAAAGGGGAAATAAGAGGAATTAAGATATTAGTTTACCTCTTATTTCTTCAGACTTTATTAAGTGATAAGAGGCTCTGAAAAAAACAGTCTTAATTACAAACCATCTGAACGAATCAGACATAAGTGATAATTAAGAGCTGAAAATGAAAAAACAAACAAGGCCTAACTCCTTTTTCATGTAGGAAACTTAATCTGCAGAATGTGGAGGTGATTGTTGCAGATATCAGCACATTTGAGATGGAAGGATCCTATGACCGAATATTTTCCATTGAAATGTTTGAGGTATTCGTTAAATTTCTCCTGAAAATCATAAATTATGATGCTTATTGCTGATTTCTTTATTGGCTTCCACAGCATATGAAAAACTACAAGGATCTTCTGAAGAAGATATCCAACTGGATGAAAACAGATGGTTTTCTCTTTGTTCATTACTTCTGCCATAAAACATATGCTTACCACTTTGAGGTAAAACTAATATGGCTTTGTAAGTCAGATTCTGTTATATTTGGATAATATATGCTTTTGTTACCAGTTCCATTTCGAACCAATTATTCAAAATTCTTTGCTTCTATGCAGACTTGTTCTAGTGATCAATAATCAGTTATAAAGATTCATTACATGGACATGATTCATTCATGTTATCAAATATCTTAATAGAACTTTGACGGTGGATAGCTGCTCCTCATGCAGGATGTTAGTGAAGAAGATTGGATAACCAGGTACTTTTTCAGTGGAGGTACGATGCCTTCAGCAAATCTTCTCCTTTATTTTCAGGTTAGCTCTCAAATTCGGTTTCTTGATCGTTTCTTTCCTTCAATTATGTTAGTATGGTTTGATTTATTGACCATAGATTTGCAGTAGTTTAAGGGCAATTGCATGTAAATGCAACTTACTTTGGTCCGATTTCTATTTACTACGACGTACTTCCAAAACCTTCATTTATAACTGATCTTGTTTACTTCAACTGTATTCGGAACAAGCCATCATGTAAATATGTGATGTCTTTGGCATACAAGGCTTCATATCTGTTTAGTTTTGCAGGATGATGTTTCTGTAGTCCACCAGTGGCTTTTGAATGGGAAACATTATGCACAAACAAGGTAAATGATGAATGTGACCCATTTTCTTACATTTGTGCCCCCAGCAAGTTTCAAACCAAACCAAAAGAACCCCGTATATCCCACTACAATGAAATGAGGTATATAGGATGCCAAAAATGTCTAAATGTCTTATTAAACTGTTTTACTTTTAGAGCCCCAAACAGTTGTGAATCCAATGTAAAAGCGTTGCAATAAGTTTATATGACGTTTTTGGGTGCCTTTAACGAGTTCTTGAACACTTCTGAAATAAAATGTCCTATTAATTTTCTATGACATTATTTGAAGGAGTGTCCTATAAAAAGATGTGTTTATAGGAAACGTGGCAAAAGTGTTATGTACAAAAGCTAATATGGCACTTAATTTTAGAGGTGTCCTAAAAAAACATGTTAAAACCTCCTATAAACTTAGTGCAACGCTTTTACATATAGGTGCATAGTTATATGGTCCTAAAAACTCCGGTCATATAAAGCAACCTATTAGGACACTTAGATACTTTTGGCGTCCTATGAACCTGATTTTGTTGCAGTACATAGACCTGACTTCTATCCACAAGAGTAGAGTTGACATTTCCGTGAAGACCCCCAACACATTTCAAACCGTCTCTAGAAAATCATCGAATTCATCTATGCTTAGCTCCTTTAATTCGATGATTTGAAATGAAAAAGGAGGAACTTTTGACACAGTTTTTTCACGGTTTCCTGGATATCTTATGTTGTGTTGCAGTGAAGAGTGGCTAAAGAGAATGGATGAGAACATAACCTCAGTAAAGCCGATAATGGAGTCAACTTACGGCAAGGATTCAGCAGTCAAATGGACCGTGTATTGGAGAACATTCTTCATATCGGTTGCTGAATTATTTGGTTACAATAATGGAGAAGAATGGATGGTCGCACATTACTTATTCAAGAAAAAGTGATCTTAATTGCGAGACGAAAATCATACCACGAAATAAGTTCCTTCCATTGTATCAGTAATAAAAACAAATGTCTCAAAATGTCATAAAAGAAGGAGCATTGCTACAAGAAGTTTGGATTATAATTGTGTGACGATATATACTTCTTGTAGGTTGCGAAGCTCCTCGTAGTACAAAAGGTATGTTGTCTTGTTTCATTGATTCTCCATCGAACATTTTGAAGTACATTGGCGTGTATGATTACTTAACCACAGTGTTCTGATGGGATCCAGTGCATTGATGCTGGTGATCGTGCATCCGGTGTATGTTTATTGTTGTCGTATGATCTACATTTATAATATCAACCTAGTGTTTTTATGGGTATATATATATATATATATATATATATATATATATATATATATATATATATATATATATATATATA